ACGGTGTGTCGCGTGCAGACGCGCCTCCGGTGCCGAGCAGCCGCGCCGCAGCCGCCGTCCGCTCAGCGACTGCCTGCTGCGCGCTGCTCGGGCCGGCCGGCCGGCCGGCGCTGCTGCTGCTCGCGGCAGCGGCCGGCGCGGCGGTCGGCGCGCACGAGGCGGCAGCGCACGTGGCGGACGCCGGGGCGTCCGCCACCGCAGCAGCGATCGCCTTGGCGGCGGCCGCGGGGGACGCGGCGGCCAAAGCGCTGCAGCCGCAGCCGCTGGGCGCTGCGCAGGCCATCGCAGAGCTCCTCGCCATGGCCGCGGCTGCGGCGGCGTGCAGCGGCTCCGCGGGCATCACGGGCATCGCGGGCATCGAGGGCATCGCGGGCGCCGCCGCCGCCGCCTTGGACGATGACGCCCCGCCGGCCGAGCTCGACTGCTGCGGAGCGAGAGCCGCCTTTGAGGCCCCGGCCGTGGCAGCAACCGGCGGGGCGGCGGCTGCCTGGTGCTGGCCTGCCTGGTGCTGGCCTGCCTGTTGCTCGATGGACTGGCGGATGCGATCCAGCTCCGTCAGCGCATCGCGCACGCCCGTCCCCGCCGGCGCGCCCCGCTCCTTGGCGCTGTCGCCCAGGAAGGGAGGAGGGAGCGGCGGCAGCGGTGCCCACTCCTCGGCTGCCGCCGGAACGCCAGCCTCGTGCTCCTGCGGGGCGCGGGGCTCACAGCTCAGAGACGGGAGGGGAGGGGAGGGCGCCGTGTTGCGAGTGGCACGAGCGGCGCGAGAGGGCCGCTTCCGCCCCGCCCCTTTCCGGGCCCTCCTCCTCTGTCTCCTCTGTCTCCTCCTCCCCCGGTCCCGGTGCGCGGTGCCCTCTCCCCTCCCCTCCTCCCGGCGCCGGCCGCCTGCGCGAGCAGCTCCAGCGCGGCGTTGCTCAGCTCCGAAAGGACGGCCTGCGCGAGACGGGACGGAGGTCGGAGGCGGTCGGAGGAGCGGCTCGGGGGGCGGGCGTGGGCGGGCGGGTGTGTCCGGCAAGGCAGGCGGCCTGCTGCATCTCTCCGCGCGAAGAGTCGATCGAGTCGCAGCCGGACACGGCCTGCGGAGGGCAGGGGAGGGTGGGCGTCGGGTGGGGGAGAGGCACCGGGGCGCGCGCCGGCGCGGGCGGCGCCTCTCCGAGCGCCGACCGCATCGGCGGCGAGAGCGGCGCGAGCCCGAGCGACGATGCGGCGGTCATGGCAGTGCCGTCCCAGCCGAGCGCTGCTCCGAGCTGGGAGGAGATCTGGTGCCATTCCGAGGAGGAGGTGCCGGCCCCGGCGGACATGGCGGGCGAGGGTGGCTGCGGCGGCAGCGGCGCCTTGCCTCGTAAGCTCGTCGCGTCCGATGCGGCGCCGCCGCCCGCCGCCGCCGCCGCCGTCGCTGTCGCGGAAGCGGCCGGCGTGGCGGCGGGTGTGGCGGCGGCGGCAGGCGTATCGCCGCCGCCTTGCGCCTGGAGCAGCTGCTCGTGCGCCTCGGCCGCGTCCAAGCGAACACCCATCTCGTCCGCCAGCGCAGCCTCAAAGCTGCATGAGCCCTCGGCTTTCGACGCACCCGCGCCGGTGCCGGCCGGTGCCGGCGGCGGCGGCGGCTCGAGCAATCTGCTCGGCGGCCGCGGCGGCTGCGGCGCGGGCCGCTGGGCAGCAGAGCTCCCACCGAGCATCCGCTCGATGGCGGGCGGCAGAGGGGCCGCCATGGCGGCGCACACTTGTGGAGACCTTCGGCAGGGGAGCTCTCAGGGCGCAGAAAAGACGCGTTACCCTCCTCCACCTTGGTCGACGCCGGCAGGTTGAGCGTGCCCCTCGCCTCTCCCTGCTGCCACGGCAGGTGAGAGCGAATGGCGCGGTTCACGCCTCGCACAACACTGGGCACGGGACTGGCGCGCACTGGCACTAACACAGGTACACCAGAAATTGATTTGCCAACAATATACCTATAACGAAGAAAAGAATTTTCCAACCCCGCCTACACCAGGCACGGGAACGTCCCTTAGGCTCCTCCCCTATCCCTCGCTTGCGTTGTTGTTTCCCTTCTTTTTTTTACTAGGCACGGGAACGTCCCTTTGAACGGCGCTTCATTTCACGTAAACGCAACCCCGGCCCGAAATCGCACAGTGTCAGAGAGAGAGATTTTTAGCAATACCATTATGTGATGTTACAGGTGGGGTAAGAGGGAGATGTGCGCGAGCTGCGGGACCGCCGGGACGGCGGGCGGGTGATTGCGACTCACCGCCACTTTTGGTGACTTTTGGGACGCGCGTCGATCGGCCGAGATTCGGCATGCAGGCGAGGGTGTCGCGGCCATGATCGTGGCTGCTGACGCCGGCCGAATACGGACCGCCGCGAGGACTTCAAGGCGGCGGCAGAGCGGGAGCTAGAGCGGGAGAGGAAGGCCAAGGTGGCGAAGGTCGCCTCAATACCAAACAACTCTAACACTCACACGTTTTGTTTTGCAGTGTCAGTGATGACAGTGACATGCAACACGGGGTCCCAGGGAAGGCGAGCAAAAACCTTATCGCGCGCGCTAGACGCCGACTTCACCACTTGAATGGCGTTCGCCTCGGCCGGCCTGCCGCCGCCGGCGCTCAACGCTGCCGCTGCCGAGGGCGCGGCGCGCGGCCGCGACGGCGCGCAAGCGGCCAACGATGGTCAGACGATCGGCGCCAAGCGCCGCCTCAACAGCGAGCTCGAGAGCGCGCGCATGGACGTCGACGACGCCAAACAAGGAGATGACACCAGAGTCGTGGACGCCGCGCAGATGGCCGCTGCGGCGGCCGCCGGCACCGACCGCGGCGCGAAGCGCCTGCGTCGCGCTCGCGGCGCGCGACGGCAAGCACATCCCGGACATCCAGAACACGACGGCGCTCGTCTCCGAGATTCGACAGCTTCTGAGGAAGACGCCAGGCTGCGAGGCGCAGCCGGCGAGCGCGATCAGCGTGCCCATCATCGGCACGTCGCGGGCCGTCTGCGTCGCCTTCAGCGGCGAGAGCGAGGCACGAGCCTTCCTCGAGCACTACGCCGGCGGTGGCGCCATACAGCTTCCAGCTCCGGACGACATTACAATCCACTTCGTCGCTCTTGACGCCTCCGAGTGGGGCAGGCAGGCGGAGGCGCGCGAGCTCCAGCCTCCAGGCGACGACGGGGTCCGACGGCCTCATCGCCATCCGCACCCGCGGCGCCATCAACACGGCCGCCCAGATCGAGCACTTTACCCCTCTGCTCCAGAAGCACTTCGGCAACGTCGTCTCCATCCAAGAGGAATCTGCCACTCTCCGTGCACATGAGAGTCCTCCCCTCCGCCCCCAAACCAGAGGCAGCGGCGTATAATCGCCCATGCAATTATCTCAGGAATATAGTGTGAAGTCAAGGTGCCTAGCGCCCTCACATGGTCACAAAGACGAGGCAGGCTGGGCAGGGCTCGGCGGCACACGGCGGATGCTGTGCGTCACTGGGCCACAAATTTGGTTTCGGCGGCACCCTCGACCAAACCTTGCTCAAGGTTCTTGGGTGCAAAGAGCGCGGCCACAAGTCACAGGGCCCGCTCGTCCATGCGACCGGCAAAGGCTGGGTCAAAGAGCACAAGGGACAGTACTACGACGCGCTCCATGTCAAGAACGGAATCGTCAAAATTTGTCTCGTCGAAAGCCAGGGCGGCATTGCGCCGCCGACCAAGACGCAAGAGAATCATCTTCAACTTCGCCAAAGAGGTCGGCAGCCCGAGCGAGCGCCGTCGACCGCACCGACTACGGCACAGCCTCGGCAGCGCCCGGGGCTTTGTCCAGCACCACTCGCAACAACAACAACCTCTCTCTCTCTCTCGCAACAGCTCTCGCGCGCCGCCGTCTGTGGCGACGCGCAAAACATCAACAACGCTGCTCGCAACATGCGTGTCGCGCACTCATTCATGACCGGTCTCAATGTCCCACCCCCCTGCGCGCGGGCCTTCTAGGCCCGCGGGTTGGCCTGCACACGCTTTTCCGGCAAACAAAAAGGAAAACAGAGGGTCCCCAGCACTTTGCGTTTCCGGAAATTTCCAGGGAAAACAGAGGGTGTTTGGTGCTCCATTCTGGAGAAACTCGCGAGTTTCCCTGAGTCTGAGAGCTGGTCTGGGGCGAAATCTGAGGCAAAATTGAGGAAATCGGCACGATACCCAGGCGGTCGCAGGGTATTTTCCAGGTATACCCGGGTTTTTCCAGGTATACCCGCAAAATACCCGGTATTTTGCCGGTTTGGCTGATTTTGGGCCCAAACCAGCCTCAGACTCGGCTCAGAGCCCGGAAATTTTGATGGTTTCCCCGGGAAAATAGAGAGGAAAAGAGAGGGTGCTGTAGAGAAAAAAGGAAAGGAAAAGAGACGGGGTGCGAGAGGAAAAGCTTGTTTGTTCAGCCTAACCCGCGGGTTTTAGGTATGTCGCGGGTAGTCTCACCCCATCCCCAGGGCCTCCAGGGCTCGCACCTCAACCTCTCACAGACCAGCGCATAGCGCCATAGGACGTATTTTCTTGTCAATAACAAGGCTGTGAATGCCCCGGAACAAGAAAGAAAGAAACATGCCTGAAATCAACCCCAAACACTCGGCACGGCTCGCAGGAGATGGGCAACAAGAAGCCGGAGAAGAAGGACGCTGCGGAGAAGGCGGCTGAGCTCGCGGCCAAGGCTCAAAAGTACCTGGTCAAGGCCATCCAGGACGACAGCGTCAAGGCGATAGAGTCGGCTCTCAAGAAGGGCGCCGACCTGCTGTCCGCCGATGAGTACGGAAACACGCCGCTCCACGTCGCGGCCATGTACGGCTCCTGCCACGCCATTGGCTATCTGCACGCGCACGGTGCCGACCTCTCCGCCCGAAACTTTGCCGGCTGCAACCTCGTGCCTCCAAAGGAGGTCAGTGAGTTAGGTGGCGAGTTAGTCGATCAGTCAAGCCAACTCATGCCTGCACTCGCACGCAGGGCCGGACGCCGCTCGAGTCGGCGCAGAAAGTTGGCGAGCCGCGCGCCATCGAGATGCTCACCGCCCTGGCTGAGGGCCGGCCCTTTGACGTCGATGCGGCCGAGGACTCTGATGACGAGTTGCCGGGGGAGGAGGAGGCGGCCGCGTCTCCCGCAGCAGCAGCCACAGGGCAGGAGCAGGACTCTCCGGACGCCACAGCGTCGCAGCCACCGCAGGCGGCGATGGAGGCGCTGAGCGTCGTGGCGCCTGGCGCCGCGTAGGGTGATAGGCCTCACTGATCTCCCAGCGGACGTGGAGTCGCCGGCCAACCTCGGCCGCGAGCCAGGCGGCGCTTGCGGTCGACCTGATGCGGCGGTTGGTGATTGGTTCTGCTCCTGGGCGATGAGATGCATTGCATCCCTGCACCGGCCCGCTCGACGACGCGAGAGTGCGGGAGAGCTCAGAGTGCGCGCGCGTGTGTGGCGCGGCCCACCGGCACCGCTGCGGCAGCGCGCGGCCCCCCACCGTCCACGTACCCCCCGCGTCGGTCGGGTCGGGTCCCGTGGAGCGCGGTCGGCGTCGTGCGCACTGTGGCACGCGGCTGCGTGCCGTTTAACTCTCTCTGGGGATCTCGCTCACACGTTCTATCAGATCTCACGAGACAAAAAAAACGTCACCGGGGACGGCAAACCGATGACGCAGCTGGCCCGCGCGCTACTTGCTACAGGGGAGGCGGATCCGATTGAAGTGCGCGGCTAACACGCATTGGGCTCTGTGTCGCCGGGTGCTGTGTCGCCGCGCACGTCGCGGTCATTCGCCTGTCCCATTCGCGAGGTCGCACAGCCTCACGCCCACGGCCGGCGCGCCGATCTCTTACCGGCCCGACTGGTAGTACTCCTTGTTGGAGCCCACGTTGCCAACCTTCTTGCGGATGTAGTCGTCGAGGAAGAAGGTGCCCTTCGCCTATGGGACGTGTGTCGGACGCGTCAAACGGACGCCCCAAACATGGTCCACAGGAAGTTGTGCCCTGCGCCTTCATCTTCTTGGTCTTGGCCGCCTCGGCCTTCATGTTGAGCTTCTGGTTGGCAGCCATCTCCGCGCGCTCCGCCGCAAGGTACTTTGGGTTGATGTTGCCTGTGGCCGGCGCGGGGCGGCGTCAGCGGCGAGTGCAGCGTAGGGGAACGGCTCGTTTGGCGAACGCGGCCCTTGCGGCGCCAGCTGCGGCGGCGAGGAGAGAGGGGAGGGGCGGGGCGGGGGCATCGGCGCGCCGTTGGGCAGGAAGATTGGCATGCCGTACTTGGACTTGCCCTCCGTCTTTTGGAACCTCTGCAGGAAGGAGCCAAAGCCACTGGCCTGCTTCTGGATGTTCTTGGTCGAGGGGTAGTTGGAGCCTGGCGAGAGCGGCTTGGCCTTCTGGGTGACCTGCGGCCGGGGAGAGGTGCGCCTCTGAGCCGAGCCACCCCCGCCGCCGGCCTCTCTTTGGGTGGTGCGCGCGCAGCCAGCAGCCAAACGGACGGCGAGGGCAGCGGCGGCGGCGGCGGCGGCGGTTTATGTTTGGTGGGCCAAGGCGACGGTGCTGGCCGCGGGCCCGGCAGGTGCGGTGGCGGAAGCAGCGGCGAGGGCGGACGGCGGCGTGTCGGAGGACGGGCGATGGCTGCGGAGCGGCCCACAGCTAGGATGCACAGAGAGCGCGCGCAGGGCGCGGCTGCGTCAGCGCGCCTTGGGCCGCTGCTGCATGGTGACGGCGGACTGCGCACCGCCGACGGGCACCGCGCTGGGCGGCACGAAGGCCGACGCGGCCGCGAGGCAGGTGGCGAGGAGCAGCGAGCGCATCATCGAGCGGCCGAGGTTATTCTGAGAGCGACAGAGAGAGGGGATGAAGCTTTGAGAAGAAGAAATTTCCGCTGCCGCGCTTCTGCGTGTTTGTGCCTGTGCGTGTGCGCTTCCGTCTCTACTCAACTACCAACGGCAACGGCCTGTGTGTGTGTGTGTGTGTGTGTGTGTGTGTGTGTGTGTGTGTGTGTGTGTCTGTGTGTGTGTGTGTGTGTGTGTGTGTGTGTGTGTGTGTGTGTGTGTGTCTGTGTGTGTGTGTGTGTGATTTGTGTGTGTGTGTGTGTGTGAAGTGGTCTTTTTGCTCGCCTTCCCTGGGACCCCGTGTTGCGTGACTGTCTCTGTGCGATTTCGGGCCCGGGGTTGTGCGCTATGTATGTGAAGTGTGGTCCAGAAACGCGTTCACCGTTACGCAAAAGCATGCGCGACTTGCACTCTTTCGTGCCACTCGCTCGCCGGTGCGCGGGGCATGGCCCCCCGCGCGGCTCGCGCTCACTCGGCGTGCCTCCGCCTCGCGGCTGGCTGAGCACGCCATGGGTCCGCCTGGTGCGGCGCTGCTCGCTCGCTGCGCTGCACAAAGCTGCGAGAAGCAGGGTGGCCTCCTGAGCTTGAGCATGGCGCAGCGTGCCGCTGCTGGTGCTCGAGGGCGGCCGTGCAGTGGCGTGAGGGCCTGATTGGTGGTTACCCCCTGCTGCATCAGCGTGCGCAGCATGCTCCCTCACCTGGTGCTGAGACATGCTGGTGGGCGACTGGCGCCAGCTTCTCAGTGCTGTCCTTGGCGTTGTGCAGCATGTCGCAATACTCCTGCTGCGCTGACCGGCGCGCGGGGCGCGTCGTGCCGCGAGTGGAGCGAGAGGCTCGCGGCGCGCGGCTGTCGGTCAACCCTGCGGCGCATGCGCGCCGCCAAGGCTGCTCGACAGGCGACTGGCATTGTGGCGACGCGGTCGCCGTTACTCCAACTTTGCTTTGCCGATCAAAAGCGCCCGTCCTTTGCTTTTTCGCCGCCGAAATTCAGCCCGCTGTTTTTTCTTTATAGGCGTCTGCAACTTCCAAGCTGCGTATTCTTCTTGTATTATCGTCGAGTAGTGCAGGTACTCCGTGGGGGCAGTGTGTATTCTTGTAACATGTGCGTATTCTCGTATCACTGGCTCCGAGTAGAAAAAGAAAGAAAAGATGCTACGTTTACTAGCTCCGAGTAGAGGGGGCGTTCCGCCGCTAGGGGACACCCAAAGCGCAGAACTAACCCTCGGAGACCCGTGTTTACTTTAAGGCCCTTGCCCTGCGAATGCGCGCCCCCCCCTAGCTAGGGGTCAGGGCTCTCTAGCCCGTAGCCCGATGCCGATCATCCGGCCCGCTGGATGCGCTTCTCAGCTCACCGGCCCTGGATGTGAGGTTGCCGACTGCACTCCAAGTGCTCCAAGGTCCACACGCTGACTGAACAGAATGTTCAACCCGAACTCTGTCGGAGCCCTCGCTCGGACGGGGGCTGTAAGACCTTCCCTGGGTCTGTCTCTCACACCCTCACTGTCGTCGTATGCGAGGTTCTTGTGCTCTTATCACCCTACTGTGAAAAGGATTCGTGTGAAGGATAGCACAGGCGCCCGAGTTCAGACGCCCCCCTAGGACCGATGCTGAAGGCGTCGGGAATGTACCGTAGCTCGCGACACGCCTGTGTGCGGGCAAGGCCGAAGGCGGCGCGAGGAGGGAGTAGTTGACGACATTTGAGAACGCCCTTGACGGACGGAGGCGAGGCGCAGCACAGGTCAGCGTGCGAGCGACGCCGCGGGTCCCGGCGGTAACGCGCGCGATGTGCGGCTCGCAATGATCCTCTGATTGTAGCTCTAGGACGAAAGAAAGCAAGACCGAAGAGGAAAACGTCGGGCGCCCGAACGAAGACGGTAGACGCTAGGGTAGACAGACGGGCGCCCCCTGAAGAGACGAGTGAGAACGGAGAGAGTGTGAAGGGAGGGACATGATGTGGTTCGGACGCACAGAGCCCGCGAGATGCGGGCGCAGGGGCGCAGGCAAGCCGGAGACGGCGCGCGCGAGCGAGAAAGCTGGCTGTCTGTTGTTGCGCTGGTCGTTCGTTCGTTCGTTGAGTGAGTGAGAAATGAGTGTTGGCCTCTTGGCCTCCGGCGACCGCCGCTGCCGCCGTGGCTCCACACACATTCCAAAAAAGTTAAATATTTTTGTTAGAGAGAGTTGTTCGCCGATCGCGCCGCTGGCAGAGCCCGGTCGTTAGTCCGAGATCCATTCGTCTCGTAGGACCTGTTTCGGTCGGTGTGCAGAACTTGGTTGCTCGCGCCGCTTTGGGTCCTCTGTACGGGTACGCCAGTGCAGGGGGGGGGGGGGGGGGCTCTATCGGAGGGTGGGGGTGGCGACCCCTCCCGACGGGAGGGCTTCTCCGCCGGCCGATGCGGTTGCTCGATGCTCGCCAGGAAGTACCCGGAAGGGTCTTCTATGCACAGCGTGGGGAGTGGTGCTGGCGGATCGCCGCCGGCGTCGGGATCTCGCGATCAAAGGAGCATGGCACGGGTCGGCAGCAGTGTGCTTCCATGAGCTACAACAGTGGGGGTACGTAACTCTAGTGAGGCGGCGTTTCTCTCTGTCGACGCGCGCTGAGCATGTGCCACCACTCTGCCTAGGTCTTGATCGCCGGGAGGACTTCATGTTTATGGGATCGTACGACCGCAGTGGTACAGAGTATGCTCCGGTCTCTGGTTCCCAGTACTTTCGGGACGGCAACACTGTCGGTGGCTGTCCACCACGAGCGGGCTACTTGTTCGTGTATGAGGTCGCCAGCCATAGATGCCACGACGTCACCTTAGGTTTGGCTCATCGCCGGCGGCCCCGCCCTGCTGACAACTCGAACGACGACTGCTGGTACCACCTGCTCCTCTTCCTTCCTCGCCAGCCAGAGATCATTAGGATTTCGCCCCGGCCGGTGGCTAGCTCGCAGCCGAACGCTCCAGGCAAGGGAGCGGAGTGGGGGCTGGCGGGGCTGTGGTCATCTCTGTCGCAAGGTTTTCATCAGCTTCGGTCGACACTCTCCAGGCGTGTTGCCCCCGAGGCAGAGAAGGGGCAGGAGGGGCAGAAAAGGAGCCAAGTCCAAGGGCCGCCACGCGCCAGGAGCGCTCTTGATGACCGTCGCAGGCAGCCTCCGACCAGTCCGCCTCCGTCAACGCCGCGGCGACGTTTATCGGAGGTTCCATCCACGCGTCGATCGCTGACCGGGTCTACAGACTTAAGCGACTACGCGTGCTTTGAAAATACCAAGGTCGGTTCCGGAAACATCGGACACGGAAACGTAAGAGACATCGACGATTGTGCCGAACGATGTGGAAGCGGCACCTGCGGCGGCACCTGCAGCGGCACCTGCGTGGCATTTCTGTTCAGACAGCGACGGCATCCCTGACGCGGAGGAGGACCCGACCGCCGACTCCGACAGCGACGGCCTCCCCGAAAGCACGGACCCCGACGCCGATGGAGATGGCGCGCCAGGCGCTGCCACACACATGAGGCACACCCAGCGCAACACATCTTTCTCGCGCCTGCGCCGTCTGTCTCCCTGCCTGCGCCCCTGCGCCCGCGAATCTCGGGCTCTGTGCTGCGCCTCGCCTCCGTCAAGGGCGATCTCAAATGTCGTCAACTACTCCCTCCTCGTGCCGCCTTCGGCCTTGCCCGCACAGGCGTCGCGAGCTACGGTACATCCCCGACGCCTTCAGCATCGGTCCTAGGTAGGGGGGGCTCGAGGGGGCGCGTCTGAATTCGGGCGCCTGTGCTATCCTTCACACACACACACACACACACACACACACACACACACACACACACACACACACACACACACACACACACACACACACACACACACACACACACACACACACACACACACACACACACACACACACACACACACACCAGACACCAGACACAGGCACACACACACACAGGCACACACACACACAGGCACACACACACACACACACACACACACACACAGGCCGTTGCCGTTGGTAGTTGAGTAGAGACGGAAGCGCACACGCACAGGCACAAACACGCAGAAGCGCGGCAGCGGAAATTTCTTCTTCTCAAAGCTTCATCCCCTCTCTCTGTCGCTCTCAGAATAACCTCGGCCGCTCGATGATGCGCTCGCTGCTCCTCGCCACCTGCCTCGCGGCCGCGTCGGCCTTCGTGCCGCCCAGCGCGGTGCCCGTCGGCGGTGCGCAGTCCGCCGTCCCCACCAGCATGCGCATGCGCACAAGGTACTCCCGGCCGTCGTGACTGTCTCCACCCCGCACCTCCATATTGCCTGCTGCAGGTGTTTTCCAATTCCATCAAAAGCTCTTCGGATTTTTTACTTCCCTCAGATCGTCCCATCTACACTCACGTGCCCGCCGTTCTCCATGGCGCGCGTAGCTATGACAGGGACCGCGGCCGCGGACCCGGCGGCGGACGGGGCTGGCGCGCAAGCGCCGGCCACCGTCGTGCCGCCGGGGATGCGCAGCGGACGCTGGAATAGCTCCAATCGCGCGCAACTGGAGGACGCGGTGATGGTCGCAAGGCTCGCAGGTGCGTCGCAGGTCAGGCTGGTATTGCCTGGCTACGCGACCATCGAGATCGACCTGAGGCACGAGAAGGCCGCGGGCGACCGCGAGTCGGTGCAGGCGGCGGAGCGCTCGTACGTCGAGCGCACCGCGCTGAAGAAGAAGGATCCCACCAAGGAGCAGCTCGCGGCTCGAGCCGCGGCACGCAAGGCCAAGAAGGCCCGGCAGAAGGCGCGCCGGGCGACGGAGGCTGGCGAGCGCGCCGCGAGCGAGGCCGAGCGCGCGGAGGCCCCGCGGGCGCAGCTGCGCGAGAACATCCAGTACGTGATGGCCGGGCTGCGGACTGCAGCTGCGCAGACGCGCAGCCAGGCCGGGTCCAAAATAGAGGTAGAGGCTAGAGTATGTGTAGTAGAGTCCTGCTGGTCTCCTATTGATAGTGTCATAAGTGTGGCTGGTGTGTGTCAGAGCCTGACAGCACCCCGACAGCACCACCTGACAGCACCTGACAGCAACAGCCCAACGTCTGACAGCAGCAGCAGCCTGACAGCTCTGACTGTCTGACAGCTCCGACAGCGTCTGACAGCAACACCCGACAGCTCCGACAGCACCTGACAGCTACAGAACCCCTCGCCTGTCAGACACGCACCCGACAGCACCCAACAGCACTGAAAGCACCTGACAGCTGGTCTGACAGAGGCACCTGACAGTGCCTGACAGCTGCCCCGACAGACCGACATATCACCTGACAGCACCTGACAGCCTGACAGCCAGGGCTCAGCTCAGATCGCATCGCTCCGTCATCGGGCACCGATCCATGCGCATCGCCGACCACTACCTCACGGCGCGCAACTCGCAAGGGATCATCGCACGGAGAATAGCACAGAAATAGAGAGTACGCACAGAGTGTGAGATTCACATAAAGGCTATAGCTAGCCAAAAAAGCTTTAAGCTTTAAAGCCGCGTACAGTCGAGTACAAAAGGGAGAGAGACACGCCCCGCGTTTGCGGCCCCGCGACGAATCGCACACAGCAAGGCCCGTGCGCGTGCCTCGCCACCCTCCCGGACTACCCGCGCCAGTCGCCTGGCCTCTCTCGCCTCTTCCCGCAGTGCTCGATCTTTACCGGTATGGGAGTTTTTGGCTAATCAAACCCAAGGCCTGCACTAATCAAAAAGTGGTACGGGATACCAGTTGCCTCACGGAAATCAAAGCGAGTCGGAGTGCCTTCTTGGTGGCAAAATCGGCAAAATCGGCAAAATACCGGGTATTTTGCGGGTATGCCTGGAAAAACCCGGGTATACCCGGGTAATACCCGCACACTTTTGCATGTGGTTTCGCCCCCGGGACAACACCGACAGCCGCTACAACTAAAATGAAACCCCCGCATACCACTTTCGCGTACCACTATACCATACCACTCCAAAACTAATCAAAATATCGCCAAATACCGG